CCCCCAACCCGAGACACACGCGAGATTCGGGTCTTCGGGTTGGGTTGGGGTGGTTGGTAGGTAGTCACGCATGGCGTCCCCGTCCTCACTTCGGCACCTCGCTCGCGAGGTTCGTGGCCCCATAGGGGAGCTCCACCCTCGGCCTCACGTGGGTGCAGACGCACGGCGGCATTCGACGTCAGCTTCGACACGCTGCTCGCGAGGCTCGTGGCCCCATAGTGGGGGCTCCTCAATGCTTTTTTTGCCATGAGATGCGAATGGTACTCGCGCGTCGTCGAAATTGACTCGGACTGACCGCCACGTGTCGGCGGAACTCTGCAGTCGCTTCCGTTCGGCGCCAACTTTGCGTCGGACCATGCGCCATTCGGGACTCGCTCCGCGGCAAGAAAGGGAACAATTTCTTGCTTGATACTTATGTACTTCTCGTGGTCTCACTCCTGCTGCTTCCTTGGGATACTTGATTCCGTTCGGTCTCCTTCTTGCCGCTTCCAGGGTTGCAGCAGAACAACTGTTTCTGGAGTAGTTGGAGCGCGTTTCTTTATTGCTTGGGGCATGACGGGCGTTATGGTCCCCCCCCTTTGACGTAACGTTCCCCCCCCAGTGCGTTCCGGGCACTGCTGCCGTGCGCATCGTGATCCGCATAGGCGTCCGCATAGGAATCCGAATAGTAGTCTGGTCCGCAGTCGTCGTCGTCGTCGTCGTCGTCGTCGTCGTCGTCGCCGCCGTCGTCGTCGTCGTCGTCGTCGTCGTCGTCGTCGTCGTCGTCGTCGTCGTTGTCGCTCGTCCTTCGTCGGTCGTCGCTCATCGTCGTCGTGCGCGCGGACGCAGCTGGAGCCAGTTGTTTTTTGTTTTTTGTTTTTGCTTTGTTTTTTTGTTTTATTATATATTTATATATTCATAGATAGATAGATAGATATATTCCGGGCCGAGGTGGAGGGGGCCGATGATGTCACGTTCCGCGCCGGCGGCGTCCGGGAATTCTTAGGAATGACCGAGGGCGGGTAGCAGCAGCATGTCGGTGGCGATCTGGACCAAAATGCCTGTATACACCACAGTGCTTGCGTGCACCACAGCGCCTGTGTACACCACACCGCCCATGTACACCACATCAGCCGCGTGCAACACAGCGCCAGTGTGCGCCACAGTGCCTGCTGGCACCACAGCGCCTGTGTACACCACAGTGCCTGCGTACACCACAGCCGTGCGCAACACAGCGCCAGTGTACACCAGAATGCCTGCGTGCAGTACAACGCCTGTGTCGTGTGCAACAAAGCACCACTGTTGTATATTGAGCATGATAAGGAATCCTTATGACAAAATGGAACCCGTGTGGATTGAACAGGAAACAAATGTTTCATATAGGATTTGGAAAGGAGCTTTTAATGAAAAAGGGTCGCCGCTGGAATCTACGAGTCCTCCGAAGTCCGCCCGCATCATCCTAACCCCTCCCATCTGCGTCCAGGAGTCTCCAGCTAAATTGGTCGTCCGAAACCAAAAAGACGGATTCAATCGACCATTCTGCGGTGCACGCTGAGATGCGCACGTGCGCTGTAGCGCCGACCCGCGCGACAGGGGGAAGAGTGAGGGAGGAGGAGGAGGACGAGGAGGAGGAGGACGAGGAGGAGGAGCAGGAGGAGGAGGAGGAGGATGATGAGGAGGAGGGGGAGGCGGAGGTGGAGGAGGGAGCGTGGAATAACGTCGCATTCTATTCTCAGCACTTCCCTGACGCGGCGTTTAACTGTCCGCAGCAGATCATCACCGACATGCTCCTCCTACCTGTCCTTTGCACGCAGGCATTCTGGTGTACACCAGCGGTGCGTTGCACGCGGATGCTGTGGTGTAGACAGGCGATGTGGTGTGCACAGGCGCTGCGGTGCACGTAAGCATTGTGGTATAGACAGGCGTTGTGTTGCACATGGCTGCTGCGGTGCACGCATTCGCTGTGGTGTACACTAGCGCTGTGGCGCGCTGTTGTGCACGCAAACATTGTGGTGTACACAGGCGCTGCGTTGCACACGGCTGTTGCGGTGTACGCAGGCGCTGTGGTGTACACAAGCGCTGTGGTGCACGCGAGCATTGTGGTGTACACAGGCGTTGTGGGGCAGATCGCCACCTACATGCTGCTCGCGTCGTTGTCGTCGTCGCTCCTCGCTCGTCGCTCATCGTCGTCGTGCGCGCGGGCGCGGCTGTGGTGCCCGAGCCATACGGCGGGGGGGGCGTTACGCCATACCCCCCCAGCCCCCCCCATGATGCCCGTCATCGCCGGTGATAAAGAAACGTGTTCTTGTTTTGGACATAGTAGGAAACATTGATTATGAGGATCTCCACTTTCTTGGCGAGCTGTTTGTGAGAAGGGGGCCGCGCGTGGCACTACTCGCAGGTGCACGGGGTTGGGTCCTTGGCCAGGCTAATGTTTACTCTAGGCTTGCTGGAGGCCTTCTGGGGCGTCCCTCGGGGCCGTGTGACGGCCTCCAGGCGCCCTGGGGGCATCTTGATGCTTTGGGGGTATCCTAGGCCTGTTTTTTGCTTGGGCATCTTTAAGCCGTCTTGGGGCAGTCAGCGGCCGTTTTGGGAGCCGTATCTAGGCCGAGGAGAGCTTCCGAGAGCAAAACTAGAGGGCGGATCTCCATGGGTGGTGGGGGCGAGGGGAGCTGGGGGTGTCGTCCAACACGCCCGAGCGTGATGATGGCACGGAGGCATGTGCTTCCCCCAGCAGCGCAGCTGTGTCCCACAGCTTGGGACGCCTGAGTTTCGTTCGTTTCGTGGTTCGTGGGTCGTCGTTCGGTCTCGGCCCCCATCTGGCCCAGGCTCCCTTCCCCTGGGCTCCTCGCCCCCGCCCCCTGGCCCGCGCCGTCGGCCCCCCCCCTTGGCCCCTAGCCCCTTTATCTTGATCGCCTCGTCGTTTCTCCTTCGTCTCTCGCCGTTCGGCCCTGGCCCCCGTCGTTTGCCGTCCGCTCCAAGTCCCACCCCCATGGGCCCCGCCCTCCCCCCACCTCAGCCCCTCCTCCCGTCTTCCGCCGCACCCTTTTGCAAGAGCCAGGTGGGCGACGTAAAACAACGGGGTTGTTCGCGCCGACGCTGGCGCGCAAGCTGCTCGCGTAAGGTCGCGCGTGAGCGCCCTCGTTTCCAATGTGGAGTGCCGCGCTGGCGGCCCGCGTGTGCCGCCGCGTACGGTCGCTACGCCATCTCGCGTGAAACCCGTTTTTGATAGTCGCTCCGGCCACGCGCGGCTTAGAACATCCAGGGCTCGCCAGGGATTGGTCTCCTTTCAAGACCTCCTATAAACCCTCCCGAAGCCCTCCGGAAGCCCCCCGGGAAGGGTTAACGGGAGGCTTCTCGGAGGGCTTCGGGAGGATTCTGGAAGGGCTTGTCGTCGCTTTTGCGGGAAGCCAGTCCCTAGCGAGCCCTGGGCTTTCCAACACGCGGCCCTGTGTTCTGCTCGGAGGCGGCGCGCCCTGCAGGCACGACCCGCTCGGGCCGGTGCCGCGCCCTCTGCAGGCAGGGGAAACCACTCGGTGCCGCGCCGCGCGGGCGCCTGGCCAGTGCGGTGCGTGCCGTGCTTGTGCGTGCCGTGATTTGTGCGTGGCGTGGCCGTGCGGGGCCTTCGACCCCGAGGCGCCCCCAGGAAAAGCCCCAGGAGGCCCCCCCAAAGAGAGCCCCCTTAGAGGGCCCAGGAGGCCCTCCTCCTCCTCCTCCTCCTCCTCCTCCTCCTCCTCTTCCTCCTCCTCCTCCTCCTTCTCCCCCTCCTCCTCCTCCTCCTCCTCCTCCTCCTCGAAGAGGCTCCCAGGAACAGGGAACCCCAAGAGGCCTCGCCAAGAGACCCCTTTAAGAGCCCCCCTCCCCAGACGCCCCCGAGGCCGTTTCGTGCTTGCCGCCCTGGCCGGTCAGTATGTCTTATAAGGGTCTTTCTGGCGGTGGGGTGCATTTAATTTTGCGAGGGTGCGGGGTACAGTGGAAACCGAGTCCTCCTCCCTCCTCCTCTCTCCTCCTCCTCCTTCCTCCTCCTCCTCCGCCTCCTCCACCTCTTCCTCCTCCTCTTTCTCCTCCGTCCACGATTGGATCAGTTGGTTCAATACGGTGGAGGCCCATACCAGAAACACCTTGCTTGCCTCCAGGGTGCCCTGGGTTTCTTGGGTGTCGATGGTTTCGCGTTGGAGAGCGTGACGTTCCCGCACCAAAAATAGATGGACGTCCTGAGGTCTCAGGGTTGGGTTTCTTGCGGAAGGTTTCTTGTAGTCGGGCCCTTACTGTATGTCGTGCAGAGTCCTTTTGGCGGTGGGGTGTTCGAATTCTGCGAGGGCGCGGGGTAACACGGACAGGCGCAGGAGGCAAACATGTTTTACATCGTTGGGGCGTGCGCGTGTTTCTCGGCGCGCGAGGCCAGCGCCAGAAGATCTGTACCATCTCGGAGCATCTTGGACCATCCCGAAAAAATGCACACACGATATCAAACACCGAATGGGGAATAGACGTCCGAGCGATGGCAAGATGATGAGGGAGGAGGCGACGATTACGGCTATGGCAAAGCCACCGACTCTTCGTGTTTTTTGTTCAGCGGAGAAGCCCCCGATGGGGTTAAGCGGATCACAGGCATCGGTGACGACACCGGCACCTTCATTCTTCCAGACGGCACGACCGCTGACATGTCGAAGGTCGCGGGGGTGCCAGACATCCGGAAGCACATGCAGGGCAGGGTGGACAAGGCGAAGGAGTCCAGAGAAAACCGTTGCGCCAAATAGTCCCTTCCGCTCGCTCATGGTTGGCGAAGTCCAGAGGTACGATATTCTTGGGATGCCAGTTGCTGTTTTCACCGCCCAGATACTGCAAACGCGTGACAGG